AAGACTTAAATGTTGGACCTGACACCATATCTAGAGGAAAACATATGCAGCAAAACCTCAGACATTGTTCATAGCAATTTTTTATCAGATATATCTCCCCAGACAAGGGAAATAAAAGAAAAAATAAACAAATGGGACTACAGCAAACTAAAAGGTTTTGCACAGCAAAAGAAATCATTAACAAAATAAAAATACCACTTGCTTCGGCCGGTGTTGCTCAGTAGATTGAGCACTGCCTTGCAAACCAAAAGGCTGCCAGTTTGATTCCTGGTCAGGGTACATGCCTGGATTGCAGGCCAGGTCCCAGTTGGGGTCATGGGAGAGGCAGGTGTTCAATGTTTCTCGCACATCCACGTTTCTGTCCCTTTCTTTCTCCCTCCTTTCCCCTCTCTCTAAAGTAAATAAATAAAAAAATAAACATAAAAATAAAGAGAGAGCCCACAGAATGTGAGAACATATTTGCTGACACATCTGTGAAGGGGTTAATATCTAAAACTTATGAAGAACTGCCCTAGCTTGGTGGACTGAGTGCTGGCCTGTAAGCCAAAGGGTCACTGGTTCGATTCCCAGTCAGGGCACATGCCTGGGTTGTGGGCAAGGTCCCTAGTGTGGGGCACACGAGAGGCAACCACACACTGATGTTCCTCTACCTCTCTTACTTCTTCCCTTCCCCTAAAAATAAATTAAAATCTTTTAAAGAAATTATTTTTTAAGAAAAACTTACAAAACTCAACACCAAAAAAACCCCAAACAGCCCAATTAAAAAATGGGCAAAGGACCTGAATAGACACTTATCCAAAGAAGACATACAGATAGCCAATAGCCAACAGACGTATGAAAAGATCCTCAATGTCACTAATCACAGAGAAATGCAAATTAAAACCATAATGAGGTATCTTACAGCTGTCAGAATGGCTATCATCAATAAATCAACAAACAACAAGTGCTGGTAAGGATGTGGAGAAAGGGGAACCCTTTTGCACTGTTGGCAGGAATGCAGATTGGTATAGCCACTTTCGAAAGCAGTACGAAGATACATCAAAAAATTAAAAATGGATCTGCCTTTTAACCCAGCGATCCCACTTCTGGAAGTATATCCGAAGGAACCCAAAACACTAATTTGAAAGAACATAACACTTCCTATGTTTACTGCAGCATAATTTAAAACTGCCAAGATATGGAAGCAGCACAAGCGTCCATCAGTAGATGAGTGGATAAAACAACTATGGGACATTTACACTTGGCCATAAAAAAGAAGAAAATTTTATCCTTTGCGAGAATATAGATGGACCGGGAGAACATTACGTGAAGTGAAATAAGCCAGTCAGAGAAAGACAAATACCATATGATTTCAATCATCTGTGGAATCTAATGAACAAACTGAACTAACAAGGAAAATGGGCGCAGATTCATAGATGGAGAGCAAGAGGACAGCTGGAGGGGGAGGTAATAGAGTAGAGGGACTGAGCAAAAAGGAAAATGGACTCAGGGATATGGACAACAATGTGGTGATTGCTGAGTGGAGGAGGGTACAAGGGGACTAAATGATAATGGGGAAAAATTCAATAAAAAGTAAATCAAAAATAAACAAAAACTTAAAAGAAAACAAAATTTATTTTACATATTCTAAGTGAATAAGAATAAAAATAAACCAGGATAAAATACAAACTATAAATTTGGCTACACAACAGCTGATGTATGCAGACTAGGCTAATAAAAGATCTACATGAATCCAACCAACCAAAAGGCATTTCAAAATTTACTTTAAACTTTAGTAAATTGATTTGGCTATACTTCTCAACCTCTACAGTTAGTCCAATGTTAAACACAACACTACACATTCTTTACCCCTACTAACGCAAAGTACATAATAATTAAAGCTAACATATTGATTATATAGTATGTGCTATATCGAAGTATTTTAATCAGTTATCTAATAGCAACTTTTATAGACAGGCAATGCAGTTCTAAAAAGTAGAAATAATAAAACAACATTCTCTGATATTATTGGAATAAAAGTAGAAAAATAAAAATATCAAAAGGCCCTTCCACCTGGAATTTTCCAACTTTCTATTAAAAAATGGTGATAATAGAAGGACTTTATCAGAATCTCATTAACAAATTAAAGCAGTAATTACAGGAAATTTTACAGCCTTAAACATATTAAAACAAAAGAATAAAAATAAATGAATTAAGTTACCAACTCAAAATGCTAGGAAAAGAACTACAACATAAACCAAAAGAACTTGGTGATGCTGGACTAGAATTGGAATTATCAGTATTACCTGAAAATATAAAGTCACACTGTTTTTAAAATTTATTTTCCGGCCCTGACAATAAAAGGGCCTATAAACAATGGTATCCCAGTAGGAACCACAGCTTGTGCTCAGATCTTGGTTTCTAAATACCACTTCCCACTAAAATTAACCAGGATTCCTTGCATAAATGGCTGATTCCAGGTCTAAGGCAGGACAAGAAGATGATGAGCCCTTCCTGTGCTTCAGTAAGTTCTTAAAAACTGATGGAGACATGTCAAAAGATCATGAACCAGCTTGAATGTGCTCCCATTAAACAAATTTGGAACAATCTGGTTATCAAAAAGGAAAAGAAGGTATTAATAGAATATAGGACATGTATCAAAAAAAATCATGACCTATAGTGATATAAAAGGGGGGAATCAGTCCTAGTTTCACAGGTATAAACATTCATCAAAATGTACACTTAAGATATACACATCTTACTGTATGAAAAATATAGCTCAAAAAAAGTATGGGTTATTCTTTAAAGAAAAAGGTTTGAACACAGATCTATATGGTGGGGGGAGAAGGAGAGTGGTAGCAGAGGAAGCAGAAGAGAAAGATTCACAACTCATGTACTGAAATCATTAAAGAGGCCATAGAGGATGAAAGCAGATTATCCTTGGAGAGAAAGGCACACTTTACCCACAGAGATAGGCAGAGATTAAGAATGAATATTAACAGTTTCGTGTATGGGGCAAAAAGTTGGAGTTCTACCAGAAAGCCTTCTGCTTTCTTATTAAAATAGAAAAATAAAAACGAAGCAGACTGGCAAGAGTAATTAATAAATATGAGTTTAAAAAAAGAAAAAAAAAAGAAAGAACTATGAGTTTAAGAAATTCTTAATTGCAAATCCTGAAATGGTTCTAGTTTCTACCTGATACCAACCAATCTGGCTCCAGTGACAGTTATTACAATGGGTAAAAGCATTCTATGTAGTCCCTATTCTATGGTGTTGGGAAAACTGGACATACACATGCATAAAAATGAAAGTAGACCACATCACGAGAATAAATCTAAAATGAATCAAAGACTTAAATGTTGGACCTGACACCATATCTAGAGGAAAACATATGCAGCAAAATCTCAGACATTGTTCATAGCAATTTTTTATCAGATATATCTCCCCAGACAAGGGAAATAAAAGAAAAAATAAACAAATGGGACTACAGCAAACTAAAAGGTTTTGCACAGCAAAAGAAATCATTAACAAAATAAAAATACCACTTGCTTCGGCCGGTGTTGCTCAGTAGATTGAGCACTGCCTTGCAAACCAAAAGGCTGCCAGTTTGATTCCTAGTCAGGGTACATGCCTGGGTTGCAGGCCAGGTCCCAGTTGGGGTCATGGGAGAGGCAGGTGTATCAAGAAAGCAGAACTTCTTCGTTGTTTTTAGAAGAAACATCAAAAAGTATGTCATCACAAGTGGTAACTGATTAGGTGGGCAGGGCCATCTGGGGCAACTCTTCAGTTTTAAGTCATCATGTCAAAGAGACTACTACTCTTCAAGTGTTTCAGGTCTTGAAATAGAATCATGACCCAAAAGGGATCACAACCATAGCAATACTATGGTAATCACTTAATGACTAAATCAGAGTTTACTAATTTACAGTGGGGCTATCACTTTCCAATGAATTTCCATTAAATTAATATTCCCCATCCAAGACATCTCTCTGTGTGCTATCAAAGCACCTAAGAAGCTAAATTATTGAATCAGGAGGTTATTTATACAAGCATAAACTCAGAACAAGGGAAGAATATATGGCCTCAAAGAGAAATATCCCGAGCTCTAAAAAAGCAGCACAAAGTATCACTAGCCTGCCTCTCCAGTGACAGGACTCCTTACCACCTCAGATACAGTGTCTCTTGCCATGGACTATCTTCCGTCTCTGACTCCCACTTTCAATGTAACCCATTTCCATTTTTTTAACACAGGGTTTTTAAGATATGCTAAAGTCAATGATTCTAATCCAGCTAAGTTGTATTTTGATCTACTCATGTGTTTAATATAAATGGATCAGTGGGGGGGGGGGCCAGGGGGAATGGAGACAACTGTACTTTAACAATAAAAAAATTTTTTATTAAAAAAGTAAATGGATTACCTCTCAGAGTTCTAAGGGCACCTCACTGTCCCAACTTACACACTTGTCTTTACTAACAACCTTAAAATGTACAACTTTGGGGAACCACAAAAAGAAAAAAAAGGGAATAGTAGGAGGAGTGAATAAAAAGAAATTAGGGCACTTTTCTTCTGATGCATTCATTATGCTTTGAAATTACTTCAGGTTATAAGAACACTATAGAAATTACATTGGAAGAGTCCAGACACTAAGAAACTTTTACTCTGGTTTCTTAGAGGAATGACAAGTGAAGTATAAAACTACTCTTTCCTACTCCTCTCACTTTGGCTAACCATGAAAATAAAATGTACCAGAATTCACCAGCATGTCTGTGAAATTGACCCTACAATATCCAATCACCCTCTGATTTCTTGTCTCTGTCAAAAACTGCTGAAAATTAACGAAAAGTTTTCTAAATCAAAGCAGACTGAATTTTATAATTTCTTCCCCATTCTTCTCAAAAATAACTGAAACATATGTCTCTTCAAGTTTTAAAGAGTAACAGTATGTGAATGACCTCCTATAACCAGATTCACAGTCAGTACATTCAAAACTCCTGTTAAAATGGCCCATGGAAATTGATACCTGAGATTTGACACGTCTTGTTCTCTTTGGCAGAATGTTCATTCTTGTGCCTGGCTCTGGGGAAGTTTGGACATCAGTGCCAAGAACCTCAGGCTCCACTTTTTCCTTAAGATCTAAATTAGGCATTTGTACACCCTAAAGAATCAGAGGACAGAAAGAGAGGAGATTCACTGATAAGAGATCGGATTTGAGGCTCAGAGGAAAAATAATATATTTACAATAAATCCCTAATGCTACATGAAATCAGATGACAATTCTCCCATCAAATTGAGCTATAGATTCAAGTCAATCCCTATCAAAACCTAGCAGGCTTTTGTAGAAATTGAGAAGCTGATCCTACAATTTATGTGAAAATGCAAATTGTTTAGAAATTCTGGAAAAAAGAATACAGTCTGAGGACTTACACTACTGGTTATCAAAACTATAAAGCCATAGTACTCAAGACAGCAAAGTACTGGTGTTAAGGTAAATATATAGATTAAAGAACAAAACAAAGACCAGAAATAAACCCACATGTTTAAAGTCAACTGGTTTTCAACAAAGATGTCAAAGTAAATAAATAGGAAAAGATAGTCTTTTAAACAAATAGTGCTGGTACAGCTGGATATTCATATGCCACTCTGCCCATCAGAAAAAAACTTATACACCTTTATCCTATACTATATACACACACACAAAAACTCAAAATGGATTAAAACCCAAATAAAAAGGCTAAAGCTATAAAATGTCTAGATGAAAATGAAGAAGAAAATCTTTGTGGTCTTGGGTTAGGGAAAAATTTCTTAGCTATAACAACAGAAAAACAATCCATAAATGGGGAGGGGAAAAAATACCAATAAATTACTCTTCAAATAGACACCATTACAAAATGAAAAGATAAACCACACACTAGGAAAAAATATTTTTTAAATCATTTTCTGATAAAGAACTTGTATCTAGAACATTCAGTGAACAAGTACAAGATGAGAAACAACCCAATAAAAAAGATTTGAACAGACACTTCATAAAGGAAGATAAACAAATGTCTAATATACACATGAAAAGATGCAGAACACCATTAGTCATGAGAGAAATGAAAATTAAAACCACAATGAGATACCCCTACACACCCACTAGAAGGGCTACAAGCAAAAAACTGACAATACCAACTGGTGGCAAAGACGTGGAGAAATTGGAAGCCTCTACATTACTAGTGTGTATGTAAAATGGTTCAGCCATTTTGGAAAACAGTTTGGCAGTTTCTTAAAAAGTTAAACATAAACGTACCATATGACCCAGCAATTCCACTCCTAGGTATCTACCCAAGAGAAATGAAAACATATGTCCACACAAAGGCGTGTACTTGAATATTCAGAGCATTATTCATAATAACCATAAACTGGAAATAATCTATCCATCAACTAGTACATGGATAAACAACTATAGTATACCCATACAATGGAATATTAGTCAGCCATAAAAATAAAGTACCAATACATGCTAAAGCATGGATGAGCCTTAAAAACATTAAGCTAAGTCAAAGAAGCCAGACACAAAATCATACTGTATGATTCCATCTATATGAAATTTCTAGAGAAGGCAAAACTATAGAGCCAGAAAGTAGATCAGGAGTTGTCTAGGTTTGCAGGTAGGAGTAGGAACCAACTACAAACACACACAAAGGAACTTTTTGGGCTGATCAAAGTGTGAAACTAGAGTATAGTGTATAATTTATTACAGCTTATTCACTGTGTATCTACAGTGAGTGAACTATGGCATGTAAATTATATCTCAATAAAGTTGTTTAAAAAATACATAAAATGAAGAGGAGTATTTCAAAAAGCTTAAGCAAAAGGACCTATTTTAAATAAATAAGAAAATATCATCCCATCATCCTTTACCTTGTAAACCACCAAAAATAGCTGATTTTTAAAATATACCTTGTTTCCCCCAAGTTTTGGTACCTGCGACAGAGTCAACTGCTAACTTGTTATGGTGAACACAGTCTAAAATTGATACTTGACAGATTGGACTTACCCACTCCTAAAAAAAAAAAAAAAAAAACCCAAAAAAACGTATCTCACCATAAGGCTGACACCAGACTGGAAAAGCTCATATGGGTAGAGAATTCTTTCATAGTGTGACTTCAAAAGAGACCCAGTTCCTTTTCCTGGCAGATATCCCAAGCGGCTACCCACTTTAGACCATTTCTTTTCTTTGGTGACCATTTCAAAACCTCCTTTGCTGGCAACAATCTGAAAAGAAAGTAAAAATTATTTAGGTAAAGAGGATAGATTCATGCATTAACTCTATATTTTGATTGCTAAATACAAAAATTATTCTGGGCCTAGATTTCAAATTTCCTTTCAACGAATATCTGACAAAATTGAAATTTGTCAACATTTTAAAGTATGGAGTGAGAGGATTTTTGGAAGTTTTAAACTTTATTATTAAATTAATGGTATTGTGCCTACCTTAAGTAAACCAGGCATTCAAAAACATTTAATGAATTTACACTTTGTACATTATGTACCTTGAGAAAACTACACACATATATGTACTCCATATCCTCAAGGAACGCCACATATAAGAATTAAATACAGACCAAAAATAGACAAGAGAATAAATGTTATATAGTATAAAAGAAACATAAAAGAAATTTTAAAATGTACCGAAAAAGCTTATAAAATTTAATAAAAATGTCAAGCAAACAATGGATTCAGAGGGTATATGGAAAAGAGGTTATAATTTTTCAAAAGGAGAAAAATTTTACATGGAAGATTATAAGGAATAATACAGAAAAATCAGATTATAGTATTACATTTACTAGAATATAATATAGAATGTTTTAGCATAGAGAGTGATGAGATAAATTGGCCAACCTGCCTGAATGTTCACATCAAAACTGGCACTGTGTACAATGTGTACAGATCAAGGCCCCTATCTTTTACAAGCTGATATTGTATCTCTCTCACACTTTGAAATTTAGGCAGCTTTCAGTTTAACTGACAACAGAACAAAAAGGACTGTGACAAAGTTATTTGAACTCAAAGTAATTTTCCTCTTTGAATATGTATTACTGCATTTTACTATATCAAAACACTTTAAAAAAAACAACACAGAATTACCACATGATCCAGCAATTCCACCTCTAGGTATATGCCTAAAAGAACTAAAAGCTGGGATTCAGACAATACTTGCATATTAATGTTCACAGTACTATTATTCACAGCAGTCAAAAGGTGGTAACAACCCAAATGTTCATCAAGAGATTAGTGGATAAACAAAATGTGACATACACATACAATAAAGTATTATTCAGCCACAAAAAAAGAATAAAATTCTGGTACATGTGATAACATGGATGAACCATGAAAACATTATGCTAAGTGAAATAAATCAAATGCAAAAGGATGAATATTCTATGATTCCACTTACATGACATACTTAGATTAAGCAAATTCATAGAGAAAGTAGAATAGAGGCTTTAACAGGGACTACAGGGAGGGGTGAAGTTCTGGAAATAGATAGCAGTGATGGTTGTACAACATTCTGAATGTACTTCATGCCTTTAAATTGCACCCTTAAAAATGGCTAATTTTATATTATGTATATTTTACCACAATTTTTTTTAAAGGCTAAGAGCACGTATTCTGGAGCCAGGCTGAGAGTTCAAATACTAGCTCTGCTACTTAATAGTTGTATGACCTTGGGTAAATTACATAATTTGCATCTCAGAGTCCTCACTATTTTAAAAGTTGTAATAATAGCACCTACACCTGCTCTGTCCAAGTGGCTCGATTGGCTGGAGCATTGTCCCATATACCAAAACACTGCAGGTTCAATCCCCAGTTGGGGCACATGCAGGAGGCAACCAATCAATGTTTGTCTCTTTTATCAATGTTTCTCTCTCCCTCTTCCTGCCCCCCCGCCAGCCCCAGCTGCTTTCTTTTCTCTCTCAAATCAATAAAACATAATCTCGGGTGAAAATTTTTTTAAAAATAGTACCTATACCTCATTATGAGGCTACTGTGAAGACAAATGAAGTAAATAAAACATGAGAAGCACCACACAGGAAGTGCTAATTAGTATTATCTGTATTATAAATGTCTATGTGTGTGAACAAGTAGGGGGGAACTAGGGGATGCACATACTATAAATAAGTGAAGAAAATATTTTCAACTCTTGCAATCTAGGATACCATTATAGACAAAGAAGAACCTAGAGCCAAAGCAAAATGTTTCACTAGTGCTTTCTTAGGGTAGAGTCCCTTATTTACTACTACTTTATGTCTGTTACAATTGTCCCTTGCTAGCCAGACTTAGTGTGTCATTGGGCTGAAATTTTGGCCTTGATTGACATTACTCTTTGGTCAAGTTTTGGTCAAGTTTGGTCAAGAACTCAAAGACATGAGTTCAGATTAGAGACGTTATCAAGTACAGTAAAAATATTGAATATCACTGTGAAAACTCAAACCACTTGGAATAAAGATTTAACCCTAATGTCTTCACACAAAAAAAATACCTGAAAGCTTGGTAGAAACACACACAAATTCACATGCACAAGAGTTGAACACATTTCTAATTCTTCAGCTTCTCTTATCATACTCTCAAAGTAGCTCCTCTGCTAACAGCTAACCAGGAAAAAGAATTTCTTTTTCAGATATTTTAGTGCAGGAGACAATGAGGGTAGCTTAAACAGGGGGCTGTCAGGAAGCAAATAAATAAATTAAAATGACTTTCTTTCATATATTTCCAGCGCTTCTATACTGTCAGCTACTGTTCTAGATGCCTGAGACATGTCTGTGAATAAAATAAAAACATTCACCTTCATGGAGCTTACATTCTATTGGGAGAAGACACACAATAAACATAATATGTAAATTTTGAAGTGATAAATCCGGTGAAAGAAAATTTAAAAAGCAGTTAAAAGGCCTCATGAGTAGCAGAATTAGGATAAACTGAAGTATTAATTAGTCACAAAAAGCCTCATGACAAAGGTGAAATCTGAGTAAAGATGTGAAAGAAGCAAAGCAGTTACCCAAGCGGATATACAGGAACTAGCCGAACCAAAGACCCTAAATTGAGAAGCATGCCTATAATGTTTGAGGAACAATAAGAAGGCCAATGTGGCTAAAGCACATGGAGAGCAATAGTAAACAAAGTCAGAGAGGAAAGAGAATCAATAACCTTTACTACCCAATACAATTATCAGCTTTGCATAACATAATCTACTTTGTAGTCAACGCACTTCAAGCTAAATTTCCATTAGTTATAATACATCTGCATGGATCATCAAGCTTTCCCACCCAGTTCTAATTACTGGCACATAAGTAATAAGACAAAGCTATCTCACAAAGAAATCAAAACCATGAGTTTGGCTTCATACATACAATAATCTTATAATCTAACCAGCTCTAGTATTATAAAAATATAAAACCTTACACTTGGTTTTATTCATCTGATAGATTCAAGGATTACCATGCAGAATTTCAAAATATAAACCATTTATACCAAGCATTTCCAATGCAATATATCACACCATTTGTCACTAGAAAAATATCAATCAAAATTGCCCTATAAAAAAAAACATGGCATACACTTAAACTGAACCCAATGAAGACAAGCCCTTTATCAAAACTTGACCAAAGAGTAATGTCAATCAAGGCCAAAATTTCAACCCAATGACACACTAAGTCTGGCTAGCAAGGGACAATTGTAACAGACATAAAGTAGTAGTAAATAAGGGACTCTACCCTAAGAAAGGAAAAAGTATGTAAACTATAGGGTCAGTCTAATAGCCTACTCAGCTTGACAGTCTACAACGGGCTATCAGTCTAACAACCAACTAATAAGAGTTCAAGTGGAAGAAATTGTCAAAAAACACAAGTCACAAGAACTCAAAGACATGAGTTCAGATTAGAGATGTTATCAAGTACAGTAAAAATACTGAATAAAAATAAACACATATTAATGAATATCACTGTGAAAACTCAAACCACTTGGAATAAAGATTTAACCCTAATGTCTTCACACACACAAAAAAAATCACCTAGAAAGGAACAAGAATTAACATAGCATCATTCTTTTCAATAGCAATACTGAAAGCCAGAAGATTATGGAGTAAAGCTTTCAAAATACTGAAGTAAAATGATTTACAACCTAGACTTTTAAACCCCACCAAACTACCAATAAAGTTTTAGAACATTTTTAGACAAGCAAAGAATTTACATCCGTGCATGGTCTCCCTCCTGGGAGCATGAGTGCACCTTTCCCTTCCTTCTCTTCTTCCCACATAGGCGTGTATCTCCTAAACTCTAACAGTCCATGAGACTTGCAACCAGGTGAGCAATGGGCAGTGACATCTTATACTGGGCTTACCCCCTGAACCTGTCCCCCGTGGCCTCCTTCTTCTGACTCTCCAGTGAACTGACAGCAGCCCTGCCTTGGCTCACTTGTTTCCCACAATGTTTCTAGAGAGCCAAAGCACCTTCCCCTAGGCTCTCTTCCATTCCTTCTTCTATGCTAGGCCTTTCCTGTTTCACTGTCCCCAGTTTTCATAAACATACTCTCAAAATCAACAACGAAGGAAAAAAGCACATCCCATTTATCTTCTTGCTCATTAAACTATTGAATAGTAGAAGAAATGTTTCCCCCAAATAGGAGTAAACCAACTAAGAGAATGATATGAAACAAGGAGAGGCAAAGGAAATTCCCTGAATGATAATAGTGAAATAAAGTTCCAGGCTGACAGCCGACCTTAAAAAACCACCAGTCTGGATTGCTGCAGGAAAGAAAAGGCAAGAGGAATGGCTCCAAGAAAATGAAACTGACAGAGGATCTGATGGGTTAAAACATACTGAGAGATTTATACTTCTGCTGAAAAAACTGAAAATAAATTTTTGACAGTCATAAACAAATGTACAAAATGAAAAAAAAGGGGGGATTATTAAATCCAAGGAAAATAAAAAATGGTATAAAAAAATCACAGCATGCTATGAGGCTCAAGTACAAATAATATTTGTATTTATACCATCACAGTAATCAAAAAAAATTTTGATTAAAAATTTACCTAACTACATTAGAAGGGGAGGGGAGAACTGAAATTTGTATTTAGATTTCTTATGCGCATTTCCCAATTCTAAAGGCAGAAAATCAATATATAATATTTAAAAATGAAAAATGAAAAAGTAGTATAATGAACATATTATTTGCAAATATAAAGATCAAAATTGGAAACAGCTAAGAATTGAAAGTGAGTAGCTCTGAGGAGTGGGAAGGGGAATGAAAAGACCGAAGAGAATGCTGCTTTTCAAAAAAATGTTTAAGAGAGAGAATGAATTCCCTGACTCAGAACTTCCAGTCAAGACGGAGGCATAGGTAAACATGCGTCGCCTCCTCACACAACTACAGCAAAGATTATGACTACAAAACAAGTATCACCCAGATTCGTCAGAAAACAGAGTTGTATGGAAGTCCAACAACCAAGCATTTAAAGAAGCCACATTAATCCAGACAGGTAGGAGGGACAGAGACACAGAGAGCTGCACAGAGATGGAAAGGCGTGGAGTGGTGCAGACGTGTGGAGAGGTGGTGGAGTGGGTGGTCCCACATTCACATGTGGTGGATAAAAATCTGGAGGAATACCTCAGGAACGACTAATTCCAGCCCCAGACCAGATCACCTCGCCCAGGGTTCCAGCGCCAGGGAGATAAGTCCCTGTTAACTTCTGGTTGTAAAAACCAGTGGGGGTTGGGACAGCAGAAGAAACTGCAGGATTCACTGGAGACTCCTCTAAGAGGGCCCACAAAGGTCTCAGAACTTACACAGACCCACCCCCTCTGGGGTTCAGCAAGAGGGTAACAGGTGAAAAGGCACAAGTGGCATATGGGGATAAAGTGAAGTGACTGGCAACAAGGCAACTGCCAGGAGACAGTTTCCTCCCAGGGAAATCTCCAGAGGCCGCGCAGTGGCATTGACACCTACCTGAACCCTCCACCACACAGAGCCACAAAGCAGTGAAACTGCTTGCCCCATCCTGGCAATTACTCGAGGCTCCACCCCCACACAATTTACAGGTGCGCTTTTCTGCAATAGGCCACACTACTAAATCAGGGAGTCAAATCAGCTCTACCTACTACATATAAACAAATACAGGGAGGCTACCAAATTGAGGGGACAAAGAATATGGCTCAAATGATAGAACAGAACAAAACTCCAGAAAAAGAACTAAATAAAATGGAGATAAGCAACCAATCAGGTGCAGAGTTCAAAACAATGGTGATCAGGATGCTCAAAGAACTCACTGGGTACTTTTATGCAACAGCATAAAAAAGACCCAGGCATAAATGAAGGTTGAATTAAGTGACATACAGAAATATCTACAGGGAACCAACAGTGGAGAGGATGAAGCTGAGAATCAAATCAATGATTTGGAACACAAGCAAGGAAAAAGCATTCAATCAGAACAGCAGGAAAAAAAAAAAGATTTCAAAAAAATGAGGAGAGGCCTAGGAGCCTCTGAGACATCTTTAAACCAACATCCAAATCACAGGGGTGCCAGAAGGAGAAGAGGAAGAGCAAGAAATTGAAAATTTACTTGAAAAAATAATAAAGCAAAAATTTCCTTAATTTGGTGAGGGAAATGGACATACAAATCCAAGAGCACAGAGAGTTCCAAACACATTGCACCCAAAGAAGACCACACCAAGACATATCAGAATTAAAATGCCAAAGGTTAAAGATAAAGAAAGAATCTTAAAAGCAGCAAGAGAAAAGCAGAGAATTACCTACAAAGGAATTAAACTGTCAGCTGATTTCTCAAAAAAAGTTTTGTAGGTTAGAAGGGACTGAAAAGTATTCAAAGTGATGAAAAGCAAGGACCTACAACCCAGAATATCCAGCAAAGCTATCATTTAGAATGGAAGGGCGGATAAAGTGCTTCCCAGACAAGGTAAACTAATGGAATTCACCATCACCAAGCCCTTACTATATGAAATGTTAAAGAGAACTATATAAGAAAAAGATCAAAACTATGAACATGAAAAGGGCAAGAAATTCACAACTATAAACAAGTGAATCACAAGCAGAACAGGAACAGAATTATAGATATGGAGATTATTTGGAGGGTTATAAACTGGGAGGGGTGGAGGTGGAAAATGCAGAGATTAAGAAGTACAAATTGGCAGGTACAATAACAGACAGGGGGATGTTAAGAACAGTATAAGAAACAGAGAACCCAAAGAACTTATATGCATGACCCATGATCATGAACTAAGTGGGGGGGATGGAGGGGAGGGGGAGTTGCTGGAGGGAATGGGGATACCAGGCAGAAGGGCCAAAGGGGGAAAAATTGGGACAACTGCAATAGTATAATTAGTAAAATATATTTATAAAAATGAATTTCCTTGCTGTACTGATTATATACAGTAATTGTTCATGTAAAACTCCATTAAATTACAGATATCCCAATAACACTTATTATCAAAAATAAGGGAGAAAGACAAAGTGATTTAATCAAAACAGGAAACCATCACACTGGCAATTTGATGACTCAAAAGACTGGAAATTTGCTTCCCATTAAAAAGTAGTCTAAGTGAAAGTGTTTCATAATCATGTCTATAACACAAGCTCAGAAGATGCTCATCATCTGTCAGCCAAAAGTAATCTTTTTTTTAAAGAGCATATCTAATAACCTAAAAAAATATCAGAACTCTCAATATTTTTTGCATTTTTCATCCTGAGCCCCTTGCTAGAGAGTAAAATGTCATGCTAATGAAATAGTCACCCAATGGTAAAGATCACAATAGTGGTTACTTTTGGGGAGAAGTACTGACTGGGATGAAGATGAAGGAGCCCACCAGAGTGCTATAAATGTTCTATATCTATATCTGGGTGGTGGTGCCAGAGGTACACACATATATAAAGGCTTATCCAACTGTACATTTAAGATTTGTACATTGCGCTCTAAGTTACACCTCAATGTAAAGAAAAAAGTTCATGTGGTGAGATGCAGCAATTTCACTAGGATATTTAGAGAACAAAAGTATTATAAAGAGAATAACCACAAATTAAAATCTGTCTGCCTTATATCTTTATATCTCAGTTTCATAAGCATTTCCAAAGGTTAGGGGAAAGAGATGTCCATTGAGATGTAAAGACAAGACTCCTATAAATCCCAGCACAATCAAACTTATAACCTTTAACATATTTGCAATACATTCTCTAAGTATTTAAATAAGATATACTTTATTAGTAGTATTCTCTCTTTGCACAAAAAGGAATTGGATTTTTTCAAGATAATATTAAACAGTCCAGATGTTAAAGGTTACAAAGAATTGTAAACTAGGTATTCAGATTAACTGTAAAGCCTCTTCCTAATTTTTAAATCCTACAACTCTAGCCCTGGTTGGCGTGGCTCAGTTGGTTGGAGTGTCGTCCTGTGTACTGAAAGGTCATGGGTTCAACTCCCAGTCAGGGCACATGCCTATGTTGCAAGTTTGGTCCTGGTTGGAGTATGTGCAAGAGAAAACCCATCGACTTTTCTCTCCCTCTCTCTCTCACCCTCCTTTCCACTCTCTCTAATCAGTGGGCATATCCTTGGGTAAAGAATTAAAACTTATTTTTTTTTAAAGAAAGAAATCCTACAACTCCATAAATCAAAGAATGCACCTAATTTATCACTTAATTAAACCTAATGTTTACCTTTTAATTGTTAAAAGAGACAATTCTTAAAACAAAATTTTTTATACTAATGGTTCCTTACATGATATAAACCCATCCCTCATATTCACTATAGTTTGTCCTTTGGTGTATCATAGGTTTTCATACAACTGCACTAAATAATTCTCAGCACAGTGCTTAATGACATCATTACCTTATTGATTAAAAAGAAAAAAAACCTAGAGAATATTTTAGCCTAAGATTATACTTCCCAGAATTTTTGTATAAAACAAAATTTTTAGAGAATTCTGACCTGACATTAATTTTTTAATATATCATAAAAAATAATTTAAATGGAATTTTTTGTTTTTTCTTTGAAATGAAATCTTCCAAAATTAACTTTGTAATTTAAATGAGAATAAGTTTTTATTTCAAAATAGTATATCAAACACAGGATATGAAAGGCCACATAAAAATGTTGATTTGCAAAATTCTACAGATAATCAAGCTGTCTTCACTCACAAGTTAGAGCAATCATAGATTTTTATTACTGTATTAACAAAGCATGTCTTCAAGGTAATTATTATGAACCCCACTGCAGGTCAGTTAGTTTTTTTCTCCTCAGGGAATGTAATGTTACAATGTTAACTTAAGTTTAGGCAAAAATTAGTCTAAATATTTCACCCTCAAGTTTGGGAACTATTATTCATTCTACTGGATAATGCTGGCTTCAGTTAACCATTAACAATACTTACAGGTATTAACAGAAGTTATGCGTGACTAGTAGAATGTTGAATAACTTCACTCTCTTTAACATAATAAATTTACATTAAGAAGTAGAAAAAAATGGCATGCTCAATATACGCCATTTTACACTCAACACAAGATAGTATTAGTAGGTTGGTATCATTCCTTTTCCATTATTGTGTATCACAAAGCCTACTAATCTGAGTAAGTCATTAAATATTAATCTCATTATTATAAAATAGATTTTAAGGATAACTTTGGGATCTCTAATTTCTATTCATGCTTGCATTTATTTCATTGTTAAACAAATCCTACATAAGTGCCGTTTTCCATCAAGTTTATTTGAAATTCCTCATTTTCTTTTAAGATTTTACTTATTTTTAGAGAGAGGGAAAAGGAGGGAGAAAGAGAGAAAGAGAAACATCAATCAGTTGCCTTATGCACACTCCCAGCTGAGGACCTGGCCTGCAGCCCAGGTATGTATCCTGACCAGGAACTGAACAAATGACCTTTCAGTTCACAATTGGTGCTCAATCCGCTGAGCCACACCAGCCAGGGTTGAAATTCCTAATTTTATACATTCACTAACCTCTGCTCCAATTTCTAGACCCAGTAAGAGCCTCACCTTGCTCAAAGCGTACAGATCCAGGATTTTCCTCTCCACAACAGGGATCTTCAAAGTAGATCCTTGAAGTTCCCAAAATTTTGCTAGTTGATCCAGGAAGTCCAGTCTCACTCTGGTCATTGCCTAAGATTATTAAAATGGAGAAATCAGAAACAAGAACTACATTATGGTTGAAAATAAATGTGTTTTACTTAACACAGATATGATTTCTCTAAAGAAATTCAGATTTTTCATTATTGTTTAGTCCAACCCTGTAAAGTAAGCTAATAATAAAGCAAAATATTTCTAATAATTTTATTCATTAAGGCAAAAAAGTCACTCTGATATATGTGAACAATTCTCATAATATCAATCAAAGCAATTTTTTGGATGAAGTTGGCTTAACTTTAAGCTAACCAGAAAATCTGATAGATTGAATTAATCTGTTTCTAAGCATTCTGCCATTTCATCGGTAGATAACATGCATACTTAAAGTATACCAACTGTGAAACTCACTGATATCAAGATCCTTCATCAAGTATCTAATTATAAGAGACTACAGGAAAAGATATATATCAAAAACTCAGAAAATGTTTTAGGAGCATCAAGGAAAAAAAAACCTCAGCATGACTTATTAAGCCTTAGCTAGGATATTCCTTCTGTAAGCTGAAACAGTTTTCTACCACACTAAAGATCTTCAGAAAATCTTGAAGACAAGAACAGTAATTTTAAAATAGAGAGATGGGTCATATTTAAAGGGAAATCTTAATAAATAAGATTAACTTAAGATTTTAATTTTAAAAATTAAAAGTTAATTAAAAATTTATTTTCCTGGAAGAGTTCTGTTAAAGCTCTGCCCCACCTCCCTAAAAAAATTAACCTCTGAAAACTAGGTTTTTTTGTTAGAATTTAAAAATCTACTTTCCAAAGACCACAGGGGACAATCTTCCAACACTAACAAAAAATTTCAGCAAAACAGTAAGTGCTAAAGAAAATAAAGCTTAAGAATTCCAGGTCTCTGAAGCTACCTAAGCTGGCTATTTCAACTATGGAAAACATGGCTAGCGATAGTTTCCCATGATCCCAGTTTTGGAGAAAAGCTGTAATAACTACTTAAAACTATTTTTTTTTAATTAGAAACTTCCTTCCATTCACTCCCAATTATCGTTAACTCTGAGCTCTGATAGATGAACTTCTCCAAGTTCTCTACCAAGAGCCCTGACATACAAAATGAATCAGGAAGGAGCAACAATGATATAACACTCACCTCAAGTTCATTCAGGCGCTGCACTCTGGGAGTGAAACGAAAGCTTTTCACTTCACACGCAAATGGAGGTTGCCAATCCTAAATGGAAAGATTTTTTTTAAAGCATATTGGTATATAAGTAAAGAATGCATTATTCCTTCCCTTCATTTAAAGGGTGACGACAAGAAAACAACTAACAAGTCTTTATTATATTATAGAGACAGAAAAAGTACTACTTTTAGATAAAATATTACTTATCTCCAACTATTTACCACTAATATTCTTAGTATTAAAACTATTTTACCTATAAATCCTCAAATCCCACAAGTACCATTGTTTACATTCTACAGTTATGCTTTCCCCAATTAATCAAGTAGAATGTAGTGAACATGTATCAATACAATGTCTAATAAACATCCAAGTTTAAAAATTAAAAAGAAAACAATTTGAAAGAAACAAAAAAAGGTACAATTAAAAAGTAATTTTTATAGTGCTTATATAATAGGATAATGTTTTTTCATTCATGTGTACTATGACATGGCACTATACAGTCTATGTCATATAAATGTTTTATTCAAAGCCTAGCTCTGGGCATCCAAATATTTTTTTTTTAATTAAGCAAACCCACAGAACAAGGACAATTTCTAGGCTTCAAATGCAGTATAACTAAATGAGATAGAATATTGCAAGCACGGTTCTAGAGAACATAGTTTAATTTGGCCTAAATATGATATTATGCTGTGTATAATGTGCACTTTTTTTGTCAAAACTTTTGAGGGAAAAACAAGGATATGCATTATTCATGGGTAGTACCTGAAATATCTTGTATCTGGTTCTTGTGTTTTGTAATTATTTGTTACATAAAATTTCTTGTATCATAATATGTTCAAAAATAAGTGCTCAAATTCCTTTCTAATACAAAAAAACAAGTATCTCTATATAAAGAAATAAATAAATAATTGGATTTAAAAATTTAAGAGAAAGTTTTTTTTCCTGAAAGTTTGGGTCAAAAACATGGGTGTGCATTATACATGGGAGTGCATTATACAAATACAGTAATAGTAAATCTATTTTAAAAAACCTGAGTAATCAAAAATATTTATCTTACCTTTTAAACTAAAGAAATCCACCAATATTGTAATTAAATTGAAATTAAATTTTCAGTAATATGACATAAAAAAGGAAAGTATATTATTTCAACCATCTTTAAGTAATACAAAACTTTTCTTTTTTTTACCAAAAGGAACCTTAAAGAGAATTTCTAATTCATATAGCCAATGGAGTAAATGAAAATATGGTTCAGAAAAAACTTCAGTGCTTAAGGTTTTATCAGTATTAGCTAATTTTGATAGAAAAAGAGTTAAATGAAACTTCTGGAGGATGGTAAAGCATACAGGAACAACTTATCATAGGAATTATCCAACAATGCTTTGCTTCCATTGATAGTCTATAATCTTTTTTCCCCCTAAGATTTTATTTATTTTTATTTTGAGGGAGAATGGAAAGAGAAAGTGGGGGAGAGAAACATCGAGGTACAAGAGATGTTGCCCTGGCTGGTATGGCTCAGTGGATTGAGTGTCAGCCTGTGAACCTAAGGGTCACAGGTTCAATCCCCAGTCAAGGCACATCCCTGGGTTGTGGGCCAGGTCCCCAGTGGGGAACACGCAAGATACAACAACACATTGATGTTTCTCTCTCTCTCTCTCTCCCCCTCCCTCCCTTCATTTCTCTAAAAATAAATAAAATTTTAAAAAAAAGAAAAAGATACATCTACAGGCTACTTCTCATGGGCCCCCAACTGGGTACCTGGCCTGCAACACAGGCATGTGCCCTGACTGGGAATCAAACCAGAGACCTTTCTGTTAGTAGGCTAGCACTAGATTCATAAAGAGGCATCAGCCACAGCAACAGTCTATAATCTTAACCAGTCACTTAGCATAAATGGGAGTAGTATGTCTGGGTTTTAGAAACAAACATTTCTATCTAGGTTCAAGATCTACTTTGCTACTTACCCAAGATCATACATTCAATAAGTTACTTAACTCACCCAGCCTTGTCTCATCTGTAAAATAAGGCTTTATTTACCTACTAAGGCTTGAAAGACTATTAATTGAAATAATCTTTAGGTGCTAAATTAGCTCCTCTCCTCCCTCCCAAATGAACTCTTTTTATTCACTGTGGTGCGCACACTATGGTAGTCTTCGGGGAGAGCAGATGCTTTTTAAAACGCAATACGAGTAACAGTACTAATAGACAAAATATAAAGCAAAGTGTCCTTTCCAAGAAGCACTAAGACAATGGTTCTCAAACTTTAATGTGCATTAAGAATCATCTGCGAGCACTTGCCAGAAAAGCCGATTCTAGATCTTCCACATACAGAAACTGATTCTAGTCTGGGAATGAGGCCTAAGGATCTGCATTTCAATGAGCATATGGTTGATTGACTCTGGTGCAGGTGGACGAGGAACATCATTTGAAAAGCACTGGTCTAATGGGTTAAGAATCTTTTGACCTTGAGCAAATCACTCAGAGTCTCAGGGCACTAATTCCCTCAAACAAAGAGCAGTATTTGCTTTCTTCACCTTAAAAACTGAGGTAATTAACCCATAAACAAACCCAGTTACTTGCAATAATCGCGATTCGCAAATCTTTGATCCACCGTTCCTTATATCAAGATTTCAACGTTTTCTCCCACATCAATCATAAACAAATTCTTCCTAATCCCCTACATTTTAAAAATAAATGTTGCTCCTTTTCTTCCCCTGGGAAGACTTTTTCATTTCAGCAGTAATCAGTCTGGGGTTCTTGTTTGGTGATACTATCCTTGGGGAAAACTAGAGCTCAGATTACTGTTTAAGAAACCTTAGCCGTGAGATGAGGCCTGCAAATATTTAATAAATAAAGCGTTAACAGGGCTTGGATAAAGAAATAACCGATGGAGGGCAGTTTTTACTATCGTACGGCCATGAAGACTGTACATGAGTGTAAGACCTGTCATGCAAAGATACTACAAACGCTTTGTCGGTCAACGAAAGGCCTAAAGTCTTTTGTTACCCTTGCCCACAATACAAGAAGAAAAGTATCAGTTCCCAAGTTCTAAAGAGACAAGGCCCTAGGAACAACACTCTCGCGTTCAGTCATAAGACTGCAAAAGAAACCAAGGCAAAAACATCCAAAACTTAGCTCCTAATGGCTGAGAAATAAAGAAATATAAAAAGAGAGGACTGAAAGAATAAAACTAAACCCAGTCCCCCAGTCTTCTTCCCTCTTCTCAGACGCCAGTACCTTGGGCGGTCGGATTTTGCAGATGCCGGTTTTCTCTGCCAGCGGCCGGATGCGGCCGATAAAGCTGAGCGGGTCTGTGAACTCCTCCCAGCTGGGTTCAAAGACTGGGCACTCCGGGGGTGGCACGAACTCCGACGCGTAGCCCCCCGACCCCACGCCCGCCATGGCAATACCCAGGGGGCCCCGAAGGGGAAACAGGTGGAGAAGGGGTGGCTAAAGCCCACCGAACTCTTTCACGTCCCCTGACAGGGGCCGAAGCTCATCTTCTTGGTCCAGAACTGAACAACACAGAAACCCCAAAATCGCTTCCTCTTTTCGTTTGTTATTGTTTCCTTCAGGGCTTTTCCTCACAGGGTTAGGACTTTTCCGGAAGTTAACGTGCTGTCAAATCCCTCCGCCACCCAGGGATAGAATCCCTCCGCGGCAACACGACGCGTCGTAGTACAAGCGTCCTTCTTCCTCCTTTTCCCAGAAACCGCGTGTTTCTTGTCTCCTTGTCTGTGAAGGTTCCGCGCTGTCCGACAACCTCAACGGCACACCCTGAAGTTCCTGATCTCTCCTTTGCTGAGGAGAAGCACTCTGGTGTGAGTGCCGACGCACTCTTCCGGCGCGGAGGAATACGTAATGCTGCAGAGGGCAAAGGTTCTACTTCCGTTGTGTGGGTACTGGGGTGAGGGGAGGAAACCTAGTTCTCCTTTGTGTATAAAGGGACGGCAAAAGAGACTGGGTATAGCCTCAGCCACCTCACCTCGCTGCCGGTTCATAGCGGCATGCTTTAAGTTGTCTTTTTCCAAGTAACTTTTTCAGCTTCTCTTGCTTTTAGTCCTTTGACACTTAGTGACTCTTATAATAATCTCGGCCACTTTATAGCCGCCCCATCTCCGTGATCGGTTCGTGTGGAACCCGTTTCCCAAATCCTGATGCCTAGCAGCATTTTTATTCACACGGAAGCAACGGCTCCAGATCTTGTTTTTCCAACTGTCGCCAACCCCAAGTCATCACAACAGCAACCACTTTACTCTGGCACTACATACTTCGTAATCCTTGCTCAATTTGCTGTAAAAGCTATGGCAATTCTTCTGACCCTGCTTATCAAAAATCTATATGCCTGTGTCCATCTCTGCTTCCTCCAAATTGTGGACAATAATGTAGAAATGACTAACACCGTGAGAGTGTAGATCTTAGTATTAAATATTTGTTGGAAGTTTCTTATATACTAATTTGATAAAGTCTCTTAATATCCTAACTAATGTTTATCTGATCTGCTAATGAAATCGAAAAAAAATTTTTGTTGGAGGTCTTACTTCCCAGGGCTTGTTCATGTACTTGCTGTGTACTCTCAGTTTTCCCCAGGACCTAAATTGCCAGCTATGGCTGATGACTCCCAAATCTGTATTTCCAGCCTAGAGGTTTGAGTTACATCTAGCGACCTATTGGACAACTCCTTGGGAAACTCAAAGTACCTTCACTCCCCACTGTTTTTCCAGTGTTTCCCGTTTCTGTGAATGACTTCATCCATCTCTCAGTTGCCTGAGCCGGAAGTCTAAAAATGATCCTTAACTTCAGCCTCTTTATGACCAATATATAATCGTGTGTCAAGTCTGAAGATTCTATCATCTAAAAACCTTAAATCCACCCATGTCTCTCCATCCCTATCATCACTCTTCTAATTTCAGCTTTTTCTCACCTGCTCAGTTCTTGCTCCTGTCAAATCCCTCTCTATTCAGCTGTCATTGTCTAAAGCAGTCTTGCCATTTTTCATCTCCATTTCAACAACTCCATACTCCTTTCCTTTGCTGCCCTATTCCCAAGCTTCATCTCTTATGCTTTCCAATATACTACACAGAAATTTTTGTGGTGGTTTTAATGCACCATGCTCTCACCTCTGAGCCCTCATAGATACTGTTTGCTTTGCTTCAACTTATTTGTATTCTCCTGACCCCACCTCTACAGTTTCCTGTATTCCCTTTCTGAATGAATTTCTACTCATCATCTATCAGCTTAAATATCACTTCTTTTGGAAAGCCTTCCCTAATGCTCTAAGTTTGTTTGGTCAGCAGCAACCTTCACTTTCTTAAACTTCTTAAAACTCCTTGTTTAATTGCTTTTTCCCTCAGACTATAAGCTATACAAAGGCAGAGGCAGTGTCTGTCTTGATATTTTAGCTCCAGCTCCTACAATAGTGCTTGGTTTTTGGAATGTGTGCAATAAATATCTGTTGAATGGATAAATTAATGAATTAATAGATTCACCCAATCTTGCCTTGTGTTTCATTGCCTCATCCTACACTTACATATACTAAATTTTATTTGAAACTCTGTTAGGGTGTGATAAACATAATATCCTTCCACTTGATTATAGCATCTACAGAACTTGATGTCCAGTTACTCATACCCACCAGTCTAAATTCCATACACAAATACTTTGAGCGGGTAGTTCTGTTCCAGTTAGCCTTTGTTGTGTAACAAACTACCTCAAAACTTCATAGTTGAAAATGAAAACATTATAATTACAATTCTGTGGTTTGGCAATCTGGTGTTCTCATTGCTTTACCTACGATCACTAATCCAGCTACAATAATCTGACAGCTTGACTGAAGTTGGAGGATCCAAGATGACCTCACATGTCTGGCAGTTGGTGCTGGCTGTTGGCAGGAAAGCCTCAGTTTGCACGACTTCTCATTCATTCTTTTTTTTTAAGACTCACCCACAGATATGTTTTTATTGATTTGAGAGAGAGAGGAAGAGGGACAGAGAGACTCATTGATTGGCCACCTTCCCCATGCACCCTGACCAAGGACCTAACCCACAACATTTTGATGCGCAAGATGATGACCCAACCAACTGAGCCACCCAGCGAGGGCTGACTTCTCATTCTTGGTAGGATAGATAGGGCTTTTTCACACCATGGTGGTCTTAGTGTTCCAAAAGTACGAAAGTGGAAACCTAGGCCTAAAGTCTAGACTCAAAAATACACAAAATAACTTCTATGATGTCCTATTAGTGAAAGCAAGTCATAAGGCAAGACCTGATTCAAGAGGGTAGTAAAATAAATTCTATTTCTGGACAGGAAGAGCAACAATGTTACATTGCAAAGACATATAGAGAAAGAAAGGTGATTCATTGCATACAAGTGTGATAATTTACAACAAATTTTGAGATTTTTTTACTACTTAAATCTGGACAACCATATTTTTCACAAAAATAAATAATGAAATTCTAAGTACAAGTAATATTGAAATAATTCATTTCATTAAACATTGAATTAAATTATAATAGTTTTGCTTTAACATTACTAGAGCAGCAAGACCCTGATAGACCCTCAGTATAAGCACAAACTCCCAAAAGTCTTTATTGTTCCCATTTATTTCCTGTTAGTCTTTCTAGTGATACTTACCTATCATTTTAAACTATCTCCTAAGAATATAAAATTATAGAATAATGATTCTCAGTCATTTTTATTTGCCTTAATACTCTTGAGAAACAATCCTTCACACTAGTAGTGAACCTGTAAGAGAAGGGTAGTAAATATCTCTGCTAGAGATGGAAAAACCTTCCCCGGTTTCACCCACCTCTGATTCTAAGTCTCCCCTCAAGGGGTGTGGGTAAACCCTATCCTCGCACCTCATGCCCACCCCTTTGAAAATCACTATTGTAAAAATCCAAAATCTTTACAATGTTGTATACAGAATGCATGTGAGGGCAATCTGAACACAGGAAGTTAACTTTACTGTCAATAGTATTTGAGTCTCCAGGACAATCGAAATAGAATAAGCAAGAATAAAAAAAGTAGTATTCAGGTGTCTTGGCAGAAGTGTTGAGTATAGCTGTAGTTTAAAGGTGTTGTTTTCATTATTTAAAAAGTTCTTGAAATTATCCTTTCAGAGAAAAAAATAAGTAATATTAGAATATTATGTATTTATCTAAAATTCACTATCCTTAGAGTAGAATAGAATAAAATGAATACTTTGTGGTAATCATTGGCTAAGCTGTGGTCTCTGGATTCTTTAAAAATGAAATAAAAGAGAATCAAGATGGCGGAGGAGTAAATGGAAGTCACACTGACCTCCTCCCAGGAATTACAAGTAAATTGTGGAGAAATCACCCAGAACAAGCAACTGAACAATAGCGAGAGAGGAGCCTCATAACCACAGACAGGCAGAAGAACCAACTTTAGGACAACCTAACTGGTAAAAAGTGTGGTAGAGACTTGAGAAAGTGGGCGGGGTGCCCATGGCCAGCAGCACCAGAAGGATATTGAAAAGGCCAGTTGGATCCCCCTGAGAAGAGCAGAGTCTAAACCATAAGTGGGGATCTCCTGCCTCCAGCACCAGAGCCCAAAAAGTACACAGATAACAACTACCTGCGAGAAGCAGCACAGTTTCTCTCTGACAGAGACAGGCAGCTGGAGACGCAAAGAGCCGTTTAAATGGCCAATGCATAAATTTTTGTTTGCAACCACATACGCTGGTCTCTGGCAAAGGTGGGGGCAGGGTGGGCTGGAGATGCCTGAGGAGAGACTGGGGAAAGAGGTTTTGGGGAGAGAACTGATGGAGTAGCTGGTGGGATCCCAGGGCTGACTCCTCCCTCAGATGGCAGCAGCCATCTGGCTAAGGCAGAGAGCACGCCCCTAAGTGGCAGCAACATGAAAGGACCCAGTAACCCCACCCCCAGGAGGACTCTGCACTGCCCTGAGCTGGCTAAGCCTGCCTGCTGAGTGCAGAGTGACTAGATTAACAGCTGAAGGGGACAGCCAGAGACCGTAGATTCCTGGAAGTCTCGAACAAACTGCCTAAGGTCAGACAGGGACAACATTTGACATCATCAGAGGCAGATCCTGAAAGTAAAAACAGAGGTCTCCTGCCATAGAAGTTCACACCACAAAGTCAGGAAATCCAGACAGATCAATTTAAGAAGGAGAAGCAAAAAAGAAGGGTCTCACAAAATGAGAAGACAAAGAAACACCCCCCAGTCAAAAGGGAAATAAGGAATCCCCACAAAGGGCACTAAATGAAATAGAGACAAGTAAACTATCAGATATTCAGTTCAAAACAACAGTTCTAACGAAGCTCAATGAGCTCAGTGATACAGGGAAACCACGAGGAACTTACTGCAAACTCTATCAACATGAAAAAGGACATAGAAACTACCAACAAGACACAAGAGGAAATGAAGAATACAATTTCTGAAATGAAGAACACAGTAGAAGGAATCAAAAGCAGGCTGGGTGAAGCCAAGGATCAAATCAGTGAGCTGGAGGACAAGGTAGGAAAAAGCTCCCAGAAAGAGCAAGAAAATGAAAAGAGACTCAAAAAGAATGAAGAGGCATTGAAGGAAATACAAGACAACATAAAACATAATAATATCCATATAGTAGGGATACCAGAAGAAGAAGAAGAGGAGCAAGGGGTAGAGAACCTGTTTGAAAAAGTAATGATGGAAAACTTCCCTAATTGGAGGACAGAAAAAGTCGCACAAGTCCAGGAAGCACAGAGGGTCCCATTCAAGAGGAACCCAATGAGGCCCACTCCAAGACACATTATCATTAAAATGGCAAATATCAAAGACAAACAGAGAATCCTAAAGGAAGCAAGGGA